TATATATCTCCCCAGATTTTAAATGCTGAATTCCTGAGTTAACATTAACAGTTTGACCGCCTCTGGGAAACGTTTTGGAAGATCTTTCATTCCAACCTTGTGTTGTGTTTATTAAGGGATGGGACGTTGCCGTTTTTAACAGCTAAGCTAATTCCTTTCAAACAGAATGTAACTTTTCTTTTTTTATCAGCAGCAAACAGAAGTGCAGCTTTGTCTTCTGCAATTGCTATGCATTGATCTGTTTGCAGATTTCAGAACTAAAATAGATCGTTTCCCATTCCTGCCCCATGCATTGTTATGCAAACCGCCTCCAAGGGTTAACTTGGCAATATCTGACTACTAAATTTAATACCCATGAAGGTTTCTGATGCAACTACTCACCTCAGCAGCAGACCTATTGCTTTGTTAGTTCAAGAGCTTGGTACTTTTAGGCGGTCAAGATGCTGGAATGTTTTTCCCCCTATTCTCTATGCCTATATATAGATATTGCACCTGCTCACTGAGTCAACACTTGATGAGCAATAGATGAACATTCAAAGCAGCCACTGAGGAGAAATATGAAGTTCTCCTTTGGCTTCTCTGCATGGTTCTTTCAGACACGCTCATTGTCGCTTGAGGCTGTGGCCACCAAGGAAGGCAGATGTATGCAGGCCATCAAACTAAATGGGACCCATCAGGCTGGCTGGGATAAGAGTCTTTCCTTGCACCCATGACTTCGGTATCAATATTCAGACTATCCTGAATACTGAAAAATATGTTCTCCTTTCACAGATATGGAATCTGGCCTTATGGCATCTTCAGAAAATTGGGCAATCCAGGCCCAATTCCTTTGCCTTTCATTGGAACCACCTTCTGGCATCGTTATGTAAGTTTATGGGCTGTTTTTATTGGCCCGGGTTGGATTCAAGAGCAGGCGGAACCTTCTGGTACAGTTCAGGTCTTCATGATCTGTCATGGAAGAGGGGACTTATAAATCATGGTTTATGGCTTAGAGTTAGGGTTTTTAATACATTGCATGGCCTGCTCAAGGAAGCTTGTTCATGCAGCAGGAGGTGTATGAACTAGACCACTGACAGATGGCACTGAACATTTGAAAATTATTCCTGAAATAATGTACAGGTTGGGATTAAAAAAAATTTTTTTGGGTGAGGATGTGGACCGCAGAATCGAAAACCAGCAGGGTTTCTTTGAGTCTAGGGATTTTTCTGTAACCCAGTTTTAATCTAGCCATGCAGAACAAATGCTGAAAATTTATCTTATAAAGGAAAAAGGAACAACCAACACAGCTGCCTGTATATCTGAGGTTGGCAAGAAATTGGCTTTAATTACTTGGGGGTGTGGTGTGGAAACCTGCTACCTAATCTAAGTAAACAAGTTGCAAGACTACTTTAGATGATGGTGATGATTTCAGCTTAGCAAACCATGTCATATTAGCAAAACCGACTAGTCCATCTATGCTTCTGTTTCACTACTTTGAGCCATCCCACTTGTTCCAAAAACGAATGGCTAATTCGGAAAACCACCCTGGATATAAACGATTCCTTATCATCAGGGATTAGCGTTGCGTGCAAATCTGTATTATGAATGTTATGGCAAGGAATGATTGCAATAGATCTCAGGGCGACGAGCCATGGTTTTGCCTTTGAAACTCATCATGAATGTTTCTGTTACAGGGAAGAATCAAGTTTGATATAGGCTGTTTTAGAAAATATGGTAGAATCTGGGGGTGAGTATTTATTCCTTTGTATTTGACTTGCAAACTTTCTGTGGTTCCCCTTGATTTTAGCTATGCATCCTCATTGCAGGGATGAATGTGTAACGACATTATTTCCTACACTATAGAGAAATAGACTTATTTATAAATCATCCATGGAGTATATCTCTCTCTGTTGCCAGACTTCACTGCAGAAACTTTAATCCACTGCACATTTGTTCTAGGACTTACGATGGACGTCAGCCTGTGCTGGTTGTAACCAACCCTACTGTAATTAAAACTGTACTGGTAAAAGAGTGTTATTCCTCCTTCCTCAATCATTGGGTAAGTTGCAGCTTTGCACAGTGTTCTGTAAACGTTGAGAAAAATCCTTTGATTATAGATTAAAATGACATGAAACAAATCCCAATGAAAATTACAAAATGGAGCCCCAACTTCAGAGAGCCAGAATCTTTGGTGCCTACAGTATGGATGTGATCACTAGCACCTCTTTTGGTGTCAACACAGACTCTATGAACAATCCCAAAGACCCCTTCGTCCAACAGGCAAAGAAACTGATAAGCTTTGACATATTTTCCCCGCTGTTTATATTACTATGTAAGTTGGTTCTGCCTGCAGCTTTGAAGCCCGTTCTTGCAATTTGTAACCTCTATGTTTGTAACCTAAGCATAGTAAAATGCTAATGAACCCTGTGACGTTTGACCCGCAGCCCCACCATTTTGCAGACAAATTGGATAAAGTAATTGATTTGTTTATGCTTATTTATTCTGCATCCTGAGATTTGGGTATAAGGCCCCTGCCATAACTCAAATATTTAGTTGAGACTGGAGTCTTTGCTTTAGCAGGGAGAAGAAGATAGGGAGCATGGCTATATCCTTATCAGTGACATGAGCAATGCTGACCAAAGATCCAACAGGACCATCTTTGGGACTATGATTCCTGAGGCTGCCTTTTCCTTCTGTCTAATGATAGGCCACCTGAATTTTCTTCTTTCTATCCTATCCAATTTGATTCCCTGCAAATATCTTAGATGCCAGATCTAGGCTAGAAAGTCCAGGTTAGAAAAAAATGCAAGAAGAAAATCTATGATAGATGGGTAGGTAGAGTAGATAAGTCAAATACCACAGAACAAGTCACAGTAGAGGTCCTTAAATCAAAGGCCAGTAGAAAAAGTTAAGATATTATTTTACTGCACGGTGTAAAGGTTTGAGGATTTGTAATGGTATGTGGGAATGACCTTGGGAGACAGGAAGAAAAGCTGCAGAGTAGGTAAGGGTCAGATAAGAGGCAGCTGAGCCTGCAGAAGGAATGGGGATGTGGCAAAAGTCTCAGAAGGGACCCTACCTGGTTTCTTGGACTATAAAGGCAGAGGGCGGAGGGAGGGAGATGTACTTTCAGACTTGGAAATTTCTGTTAATGTTACCTTACAATAAAGTTAGAGCTAGTACTTCTGGGTGTGCTTCTTGTCTGGACTACCTTGCAAGGCTGACAGCACTGAACCTCACAACAACTTCCCCCTTTTAAATAGATAATTTCACCACTCAAGCTTCTACTCAAATAAATGTTCTCTATCTTGATAACCATCTCTTTCTGCCTCAAACAGCTAACAAGATAGAAACCCAGTCACTGATAACATTTGCAGTGTTCTTCTAACACTTTCCCCTTTCTCTCCAGATGTTGCCCCATGGCTAACCCCTCTTCTCGACAGGATGAATATAAATATATTTTCCAACGGAGCCATAGAATTCTTTGCAAGGTCTATAACAAAAATAAAGGAGAAGCAGGCCCAGGAAAGTGAAAAGGTATGGAAAAAGCCCAAACGTGCATTGAATATTAATTTAAGTCAGACAAAAACTGAGAATTGGGAAGTTCATATCTGTAATCAGTCTTTCCCCAGCAAAGTACCTTCATATCTCAGACAGTTATAAACAAAGAGTTTCTGAAGAAGGTTAACAAACTGTTTGGTGGGTCTTCTTATCTCGCTAACAAGGCCTGTCTGTTTATTTTACTTACTAATTTGTAAATACAGTAAGAATTTGGAATGCTGCTAAGACTTCAGTTAGAGATGTAAAGATCTCATTGCAAAAACTAATAATCAGGACTAGACTATTGTGTATTTCTTCTGATCGCACATAGGTTTCTACCTGGGATTTGGGACACTTCAATTATAGCATGGAAATTGTCAAAATTAAGTATTTTTTCTGACACATTGGGCTTCTTGTGTAACGCAATGCCACAATACATCCTATAAGATTAATGCAACCATCTTTTGTGATGGAAATCTCTAGGATTTTGGTTGACTCAGAACAGATTCCAGTAACCATGTGGCCATCATGGTTCCATCATGGATAGTACCAGCCATCTGTTGCTAGATTCGAAATAAAACATAGCATTCTATTTTAGGTATAACTATAACCAATCCTTTCCCATATGAAATTCCTTTAAAATTAAATCGCAGCATTGCAACCTGGGAATAATTTGGTAATTACTTCAGAATAAAGTGGCAAAGTTGTAATCAATACTCCCAAGTTGTTATCATGTAAATACCACTCTCAGTTGACCAAGTTGCCAAGAGGCAGATATTCTGAAATTCTCTTATTATTTCTCTTTCAGGCAAGAGTGGATTTCTTGCAACTGATGCTAGAATCTCAGAAATCAGTGATAAACCATGAGAGCGATGGTGTGAATCACACCTATAAAGGTAATAATTTGAAATCATGCTCAATGGTCAAGACTTCAAACCAGAACCAGCTTTCAAGTCTGCTATTGTGGGAATAGGTGAAATAATGACCATTAACTTTGTGTCTGTGGAAAACACCACTGAGTGAAGGAAAGAAGCACTGAGATAGTTCAGGAATATTTTTAAGGGAAGCAAAGTGGATTTGAGGGGAAAAAAGCATTTTTAATCATCACACAAAAGAAAATACTGAGTCTCAAATGCAGGTAGGGCAGGATGTCTCATTCTCAACAACCATGTTGATTAGAACTTTAGCAGTTTCTCCCACTTACCTTCCAAATGTTTGAGGACCGTAACTGGAATTGCAGCTTATGCAAAAACAAATTCTACTGGTTTACATGTGCCTGTAAGAGGAACAAACAAATCTTGGTCATAAAATAGAATTGTCTATGTGATATAGAATCATAGAATTGTGCTAGCAGGGACCTCAGTGATAATCTTGTCCAATCTTCTCCAATATGTAGGAAAACCAATGAACCCATTCATTAGAAGTGGCTGTTTACATTTCCTACAATAGGTTAGCGCATGCAATTTTTAAGTGCAGGGTTTCTCAACCTTGGGAACTTTAAGATGGGTGGACTTCAGCTCCCAGAATTCCCCAGCCAACCATGTTCCCAAGGTTCAGAAACACTACTTTAATGATTTCTGCTCATTGAGGGTAGGCTCTGCGCTTTAAAGAGATGACTGATTCAGAAAGGGATGAATCAGTAGTAATAATGGTTGTGAAACTCTCAATGAGTAACAAGTTTCATTACAGGATTTTCTTGGATGGTGGATTGTTCTTTGGCAGCCTAAGTCTACTTTATAATTTCACTTGTAATTTTATATTGTTGCACTGTGTTTCTTCTCCTTTTAAACTTTTTTACTGTAAGAGGTGAATGTAAGCTGCTCAGAGTTCTTTTGGACTGGAGTGGCAAAAATACCCTAGCAAGCAAATTAATTAAAGGTGAGGTCCTCAGAAAACAGAAGAAAGAAGAAAGAAAGAAGAAAGAAAGAAGAAAGAAAGAAGAAAGAAAGAAAGAAAGAAAGAAAGAAAGAAAGAAAG